GTGGATGGAAAATCATTTGAAAAACAGTGAAGAGTGTAGTCTTTCGTCTGAAATAGAGCGAAAGAGGTTGCCAGATTTAACGATAGAAGATCAGAACAGAACTAACAAAAAAAAAGTTACCTATTGGCAGAAACTGCTAGAAACAGTATAGTAGCCTCCCAAATCGAGATAAAAACTAAAAAGAAATTCACCGGGAAAAAGGCATTTGCTGATGCAGTCTAACCTATACAATCTAAGAACAAATGCAACTAAATGTGCGCGTTATTTAAAAAAGAGAGTATAGCTTTACTTAAAGGGTCTGAACATAATGCAAATGGACCAATACGGAGAGATCATGAAATTAAAGTGCTCTACAATGTACAAATAAGCACGATTTCAAGGATCTGACACGGCGATAGTTCACCCCTGCTGCTTACCTTTGAATGCAGTCTGAAAGTGTCCTTAATCTCCATTGATTTCCTGATAATTAAAGGGAGATGGCAAGGAACCGAGTGAGACATTCAGTCTGGAACTCCACTTATGCGTTTTCTACAAATTCCGTTTGTGAAACTAAATGAGAATTCCCTATTAGTACCGCACAACAAATTTGGTACAGCTAAACCAAGAGCTTTTGAGAAAAAAACGCATGTAAAGCTACTTCGCAACTTTATCCAACAATCCCAATACAAATATAGTGCGGTTATTTACTTTTATTTATTTACGTGTATTCGCGTCTCCGGTCCATGTTTCGTTTGATGTATATTTATTTTCCATGACAATTGACGAGACGGAAATAAATTTATAATGTACGAGAAGGATGCGAGAGCGTCGTGTTTTCCTGAAAATTCCCTCTCGCTACTATGTGTATGTAAACCTAACGTCGCCGTACCAAATTTATTGCGCTGAACTGGGATAAGTATTGAGACCTATGCAAATATTTATTAAACGCCGATGATTTTTTGCGCAAATATGAAACTAATCAAAATTTTCTTTTTCATGAATGCGGGGCGATAGGAAAAATTGGGAGGGCTGGCGGTATTGACATATTGCGTATACATCCCTCAGTTTTAAGGGGGGAGTGATTGATCACCATTATTACCAACCTTGATGGGGAACGCTACTGGAACGGTCCCGTTGTGTACATTTGTAATAGATTGATGCCTTGCTGAAATATGTTGGTATTTCTACAGCTCGATTTGTTAGATAGGATAGGCCTAACGTCAAGCAACAAACGAGGTTGGATCCCTTGGAATTTTACATGTGCCTGTATGGCAGTTTATACAGAGTGCACGTAACGGTCGTTAGAAGTCGAGAACTGTTGACGCTATTTATTTGGCATTTTGTAGCAACTTTTATTCTGAATTGATTGTAATATCATATCAATTGAAAATATCAGTTTTTTTTTAACATGATCCATCGTTCCTCTAAATGGGGTTGAGTGATATCAAAGATTAAGAAAATCGGATCTCAAAGCCTTCCCCATACATTTATTGTTCTACTATTAAAATACGACTGTAGTTTCGGCGATAATCGCAATCATCAGGTGAACTATAAATTAATTAAACTTACACCTACGAATGATAAAGTTATACACAGTCTAAACATCAAATCAAAATCTAAACATGTAACTGTGTATAACTTTTATCATTCGTAGGTCAAATTTTCTAATTGTAACTTCAGCACCTTGTATTCTTTTCATTTCCCACCTGTCTTCAATTTCTTCCATCAATAATAATTAACGTAAGTAATCAGCTCGTTATCTAGATCAATTTTGTAAGTTATTATTTTAATATTATATTAATTTATAGTTCACCTGATGGCGATTATCGCCGAAACTATAGTCGTATTTTAATAGTACAACAATAGGGAAAGGCTTTGAGATCCGATTTTCTTAATCTTTGATGAAAATATCAGTTTAACCGTATTCGTTTTTTTAAAGTAAACGCAAACCGCGCAAGGGGCTCAAATAATCTTTCGATAGTTTTGCTAACATTTGAATTTACAGTTCTTGCTCTTTATGGCCTCATTCTTTGATCATTTAAACTTAGTAGCGTACTACTCGGCGATCTAACGTTTCTATTACGAATGCTTCATTTTGAAATTTTTCCCCGAATTGCTTTCTTCTCAAACTTTATTGTTATCTACTCTTTAGGCGAGTAGAAATCCCAAAACCCGTTCAACGAAAATTACGAGTCCAAGCCATCTCTGCCTCTAACTGCGTGTCGTTTTCGCCGAACCTACTCACCCTCACTCTTCATATAAAGCGTTACATATGCAATTTTACTCATTTACTATTCTAAAACCAGGTGTCAAATTCTTGCCAGAATAGCTTCCTAGCTGAAACCAAAAATTGCCAACATATGTACGCTGCTTTTATTAAAGGGACTTACCATAGAAATTTCGTTAAAATTGCTTCAGAAACAAGATCGTTGCGTTTTGCACATATGCAACACAATTTTTTGACATTGACAATTTTTTTCTCCGTTTTTTGATAATATAACCCGGCCCAATTTTTTGTAGGTTATATACCCAGGAAAATAAGGTCTTCCAAATAATAGAATAAAAATTTTAGGTTGCTATTTGAAAAAAAAAGTTCGATGCCGTTACGGCGCTCCAAAATTTTTTTTCAAAAATCCGGCCCGTTATTTTTCTGTTCGGTATGCCTAAAACATATATACAAAATTTCAACAAAATCCGTCGAGGCGTTTTCTCAGAAAATTGCCAACAAACGTACGTACGTACATACAGACGGAAAAAAAATTTATTCTTTAAAAGTTGCTTAAAATGGTCTAAAACGTCGACATTTGATGAAATTTTGAAATGTTCAAAAAACGGCTATCGCAATAGCTACCTAGCACATGCTAGGAAGCTAAAAATGTAAACCACAAAGCGAACTTCCGTTACAACAAATAATGGAATACTTGCTGCTAGAAATACGATCCAGTATCGGTTGGTAAAGGTAATGGTCCTTAAAGGTGAGATTTCGTTGGGCCACCCATCGATCGGCAGTTCATCCATACGACGCACTACTATAATGCTCGTCTGGAGGACGCAGCGGTCCGACCGACGTCGCGACTGTACAAAAACCTGTCAAGACGCGGACGTAGACCTGTCTTCATTTGAAATAGACATACTTGATAGTAGTACGATAAAAAATGTCCAATGATGACGAGGAATTATTAATTGATAACATATGCAAATTTCCTTGCGTTTATGACCACGAAAATAAATACTTTAAAGATTATCAAATGCGGGAAAATGTGTGGAACCTCCTGTGGAAACCGTATTTGCGCAATTTTCCTATTCATCGCGACAAGCAAAATAGGTACTTAAAACTGCACTGAACTATTGAGTGTTATTTATTGCTTCAAAAATACGGACGCTAGACGCTTCTAACAAATTCATAAAGTCATTACTGCTGGACGTCGGTCGTGTGACTGGCAGTAACAGCTTAGGATCAGGATCAAATCTATCCATTAACTACATAAAAAATAGTCTTTTATCATAGATTCCATTTTTTCCGCGTTAGGGTTATTTTCAACAAGAGAGGTTCAAAAACTCCTTTTTCACCACCTTGGTTCTCATGTGTTTTTAAATCTAGCCCAACTGAAATAACCAAATGTCCAAAAAATACTGTTTTAAGAGTCGTTAATGTTAGAAAGGAGCGGAAAGAGTTTTTAAAACCCTTGAAATGCCCTACATAGCCCTCCAAATGGATTTTGTGAACATTGGGTTGCTCAGTATGTTAGTTAGTTAAAAAAAAACATGTTTCAGAAAGGCCTTGAACGATTAGAGAACGAATGAAGGTACTTGATGCACCACAAAGTCAAAATGGCTGACCCTATACATTCAGGGGAGGCACCACGTCAGATCGTCATCATGAAATCATATGTATACCCATACCTAGGAAATCTTCGTATACTGGGGGGGTAAGCCATCCCTCCAGACCCCTCAGTTCTATATTTTCAAGCAAAATGACGCCCGTATTAATACGACGGGACCTTTTTACTACTTGGCCTATACAATTCGTGAAGGGACCTTTGAACGTATGAAATACCTCTGAAAAAAGGAAAATTCGATTGTCCTTTTTTAAAGAAATTTTGGTGCAGTCGATTTTTGGTAAAAAAAGGTTATACACTGCCTTTTTTTTGGCTCGAAAAAAAATTGTGTCAGATCGACCGATATTTTCTTATAGAATGTAGCCTGTAGAATCCATAATTTCAAACAGTTCCAAGATCGGGCTCCTAGATCAAAAGTTACAGCCCTTTGAATTTTTCGTCGAAATTCGTTTTTTGCCCATAACTTTTGATTGAGACGTCTAATCGAAAAAGTACGAATCGTTTTGGATTCTACGCACCAAAATTAATTAGAAAAAGTTTTTTCCCGAGTAATTTTGGTGCAGTCGATTTTTGGTAAAAAAGGAAGGTTATACAAATATGTAGTGCCCATGACTATTCACTTTCAGGAAGGAACCTTTGAACGTGTGTCTGGGTCTGGGGGTATTCAATACGCCCCAGCCGCACAATACTTATCAGTAAGGCCGATTTGTTTCACTATGACAATTCAATGGGTTTAAATAAAAGAGATAATGAACATTATTTTGCGATTGAAGTTAACCATACAACGGTAACGTTTAAAAGGACATTTGGCGTTTCCTTATAGCGATTTTTGGATAATTTTGACAGTAATACGTTCTGATTAAGTGTGAAGGGGGTTACCAATTACAATATTTAAGGGGGGTTCGTGAGACGCTTTCACATCCTCTCGAGCGTTTCTTGAAATTATTTTACTTTCCATTATCCTATTTTCACGGAATATAATTTGAAAAACAAAGTGTGACGTATTGATATTATTTATAAATGCGATTAAATGGCGAGCGTGAAAACTGGTCCTTAATCCAATCGAAATCTACTTTCAATTAGACGTCGGTTATACGTCAGCTTTCTTATCGCACCTACACAGCAGGTGACATATCATTCGAGCAGTAACTTTAATCGGGTTAACACGAAAATGACTGAATACTTGCCGAATTTAGTGTAGTTAGTGTTCTTGTTACACCAAAAGAAAACCTGGCATTGGTTACAGGAAGAAATTCTTCAACCGGTGAGCTTACATATCTAATTTGTAATATTGGTATGTAATTTTAATGGAAATCTCGCTACTCTACCCGTTTTAATTTCAATAAGTACACCAATATAAACTATTAAATCTAAAGTTAGACAGTGGAGGACAGACGGTATGCTAGGGGTTTGGAATTTTACGGAATCCAAAACAATCGGGCAGCTCAAATGGCAGATTTTGAAGATCTGAAGTCCGAGATTTCTGAAGGTTCAAAAGGTTTCGTTTGTAAACTGCACCACCACAGGTCTAAAATTTGCGGGTTTTTTATTTTTCTTTCAAAAGGATGTGAAAACAATTCTAATTCCATTGTAAATGTTTCCACCCACTAAAATAAAGATTCCTACTTTCCAGCTGTAAATGGAAATCGATTGGATAGAGCATACGTAACGTCTAAGATCAATGTTTCTATAAAATGTGTTATTCAGGTAAAAATAATTCGGGCCGTAATGATTTATTTCAAATTTCCATAATGAACTGTGAACCAAATATCAAACAATATCACTGTGACGTTGTTTAACAGAAATAAAGAGGTATTTTTTTCTCCCTGTCTCCAACGCAGGATCGTAGCGTCTGTTATATTTTGGAACATCTCCATTAAGTTTACTAAAGAGTTTTCCCATATCCCAGTGGACAAAAACTCGGCTCTAATTTGACAAAATAGCAAACGAACGTGAGCAATTTAATTTGAAAACAGGATTTCGGTCTCGCCTTACAAACTATCTGATGCAATCCTAAAATTTAATTAATCTAACGGGCGTCTCTCTTCTTTGTATTATAGGATACCGTCTTTAAGCTTTAAAGTTGATTTTTACAGCTACAGTCTTTGCACTGTTGTGTAGCAATATCTCAGTAACGATTTGGTGAGAAACTTTCTTGAACATCACGTCGCAAACGTAAGTTTAATTAGAAAACCAAATCGTGTGTAAAGGGCATTTTCCAACTCATGTTGGAAGGCGCTATTATGGCCACTTTCTCAGTCCGTCCGATATTTAGTTCGTTCTTTTTTCATTTGGTAGCTTATAGGTCTGGCACCTGAACAAAGATAAATCTTGACGATTAGTTCAGCTTACTTATTTATACAGATATTTTTTGAAATTTTAACTACAGACGCTTCTAGTAAAGACAAACATATCGCATATTGTAAAATCAGATGTGTGCATGCGCAAACTCCGCAATTTCAACTTTCTTATTTATAGAAATATTTTTTTGAAATTTTATCAAAAGATTTTTCTAGTAAAGGCAAACATATCGCGTATCAGGTAGGCGCAAGTTTCTTATTTATAAGAATATTTAAGCCTTATCCCTTATATGACGTTTCGGGAAGTACTGCTGGAAAATGAGCTAAAGTTTCTTGTCTTAAGGCGAAAACCTTTTACATTAAACTAAAAGTAAAATCGACATCAACATAAATTATTCCTCGAATTATTCTAGGTATGTATTTTAAAACAGAAACAAGTTAAAAAGTAATCGTAAACGATTTACATAAAGCGCATTTCCACTTGCATTCATTTCCCATTTGTAAGATTCAACTTCTATAAAATCGTAAAAATCCGGCTACAAATATGAAAGATAGCATTGCACATGGGCAATCCATTTTTGTCGTGCTACTTCAATGTCAGTTTATGAGAAGAATTTCATTTCAATGCTTTTCTAAATAAGAAAGTTGGAACTGCGCGTGCGCAAACCTAAATTTTAAAACTAATGTTAGATTTTCCTTTGTTCCAAGCGCCTAAATATCAAATTTCACTTAAATGCTCTTCCATAGATAAAAAAAGTTTGGCCACTGCGCATGCGCAAAACCAAATTTTGAACATTGGCGTTTGATTTTTCCTTTTATCCCAAGTGCTTATGTACAAATTTTCGTTTAAATTCTTCCTATAATAAAAAAAGTTGGCACTGCGCATGCGTGCATAACCAATTTTTGAAATTGGCAGTGTTGATTTCCCTTTATTCAAGTGCCTATGTATCAATTTCAATTCAAATGCTTTTATAAGTAAAAAATTGCAATCGGTCAAACTGGTGTAAATTATGGAACATTGTAAAAAAAACTGTTTTTTTGTTTTTTTTTACAATAACTTGTTTTGAATGCGTTACAGAAAAAATTCCTTCCTTTGGTACAAAACTCGACACCATAACGAACCAAATAGCGAAAAAAGTAGAACAATAGCTCTTAAGATAAAGAACTAGTAGCGTCGCAAAACGAGCGGACGGACGGACGGACAAAGTGGCCACAATAGCGCATTTTTTTTTATTTTTGTGGAAATGCGCTAAAAAAATAAATAGAGGCAATAGATAGTAGGTATAACCGGGGAACTCAAACGATTTAAGCCAAAATTAAATTAAGCTCAAAATTCTTATGAATTTTCATGATCTACTTAAGTATTTACCCACACTTGTCGTGTTATAATCGTGAACAATAAGACAAAAAGTAAATCTTAAACGGGCTTAAACAAAACCTAAATAGAAGAATTTTAGAGTTAACCAAAACGCAGGGTGTGAATCCTCGGGTGATTTTAATAAGTGATTTTAATAAATAAAATTGTCAGTTCAAACTCCGTACGAACGTCACTGGTGAAAATTTTAAAAATCTTTTACGTCAAAAAAGGTCTGTACAACATTTCAAAAAAATATCTAAGAGTGATAAAAAATATGATCAAAACTCACTTTTTTCTTAAAATTCTTAAAACACCCTGTACCTCAAAAACTAAGAGGGTTAGGAGATATGTTGATATAAACTTTTCTCCTTAAAATCACCCGAGGATTCACACCCTGTATTATAGGCACTCAATTAATTTACACTCTGCAGGTATATTAACAATAAACCCGAGAATAAACCACACGAGTTTATTAAAACAATCGAACCGGCAGTAAATAAACTTATTAAAAAGTGGATTCTATAGCTAAAGCCTTCAGGTACAAGGTGCCTCGGTTGTTATTTCATGTTAGACAAATTCATTTTGTAAGCTGTAACGGTGGCTTTTAATGTGGAGTTAATTTCTTCGAATTTTATATAGAGATTGGTAGGGTTGAAATTTTTATGTTTTAGGGATTCGAACAACTTACAGACAGACATTACATTTACATGTTTCTGTCATTTTATGTCTATAGCGCGTTGTCCTCTGAATAGCTTTAGGAAGTTTTAGGCTTCAATGAGTGCGGGATAACAGAGTAAATACTATCTTAATTGGGGTTCCTGTAACCAAAGGTTCTGACAGAATTAAATTATTAAATATTATAAAGTACTCTAAATTAAATATTAAAAAAAGAATCTAGTTACTTTTCTTCTTCATTAGAGATTCAGCACAATTCCCATGTGTGGGTTCTGAGAAACAGCCTAAAGCTCACGTATTCTTACAAAAAATGGTTCATTTTAATGTTGAAATAGGCTTTAATTAGTTACATAGGATAGTAAGGATCATTCTGGGGGATTTTCGAAAGCATTCGGTGTAAGACTACCAAAAGGGGAACCATGTTAGTTTGCCGCAAACAAATTTCGTTCAGAGTTGACCAGACACAAGGTTCCTATATTTTCTTCGGACATTGATTTAACACAAATTTTCCTAAAATTTGACAATTAAAAAATAGTGAAAACAATTTGAAGCAAAATTGCCTTCTCCGGTCAAGCTTTAGCCAAGCGAATATTTTCGGTCGGCAAATAATTAACTTGCTATTAAGCGTAAAGAAATTGTGCTATTCAAAAATGAGGAATTTTAAACTGAACTTGCGTGCTTAGTGGTGAAGATAGCTAGAATTCGTAACAAAAATTAAATGATTTTAAACACTCGTCTTGGAAAGAACGTGAAGGGAATTTCTCCTACTACGGTAATACATACCGTGGCCACGAAAATGGATCGAATTATGGTGGGCTTATACCATCATTATCATTCGTTTGGAGAAAAATTCAACCCTTTTAAACAGCTACTGTTACAAGGATATACCTACTCGAGTTTGAGAATAACATTTTACATGCAGATGCACTCTAAGCCTGCACTTTTCCTGGAGAAACAGCATCAAGTGATGTTTTAAGTAGGTAGCTTACGATATGGCTAAATGGAAGGAAAATGTAGAGATAAGCCAATGTTTGGTGTGCCCATAAAGGGCTAAAACACTTTCCTCTTCGTACAAATGGAGACTCTGTGAAGATAAATTAGCTACTTAATTAACAGTAAATTGTGTTTTTAAAATATGATATTCGACAATATGGTGACAGATGTTTCGATTGTATCTACAGATATCCAAACCTCATTTCCGTTTCGGAAATCCTAAGCGAACTATGATATGACAGCTGCAATATAAGGCAAGTGCCTGAAATTGCTTCTGTCCTCTGTAAAGTTATTCTTTCTGAGCTCGACATATTATAGCTAAAACTAAAATAGGCTAAACGCAATATTTAACTTTAACCACGCGAGAGATACAAAATATGTAACAGCCGCGATATTGCAGCAAAAATGTTAAATTATTAAGTAATTACAGCGACCCACTTCCACAATATAGTGCAATATTGTAGCTGCCCCGTTAGGTATTAATATCCTCCCCCGACCGTGAGCGCGCTATATTAAAGAGCTTTAATCAATACAAGCGACATTAATCAGCAAAGACCGGTCACTTTATCAAAATTCAAAACAATAATTAATAGCTGTCGTTGCGCATCTTTCGGACATGCTAGCCGGGCGGTGCGGTCAGATTCGGAACGTAAGCCGGCGGTTTTCCCCCCTTAACATTTCGCTCGCAAACATAATTTTCGGCAATATTTTATGAAGTACAGCTAACCAGCATAACATAATGGTGGAATGTGTAGAATGAAATCGGTTTACTTAAATGAACGACTGCGGCGTGTACCTACCTCAGAATCCGGAGAGTTAAATGGAGAAACTTATAATGGATAAGGGACGGTCAGTTTAGGACAAAATAATTTACATACATACGTTTACAGTTATGACGTTACACTAATTAAGTGCAGATTTAAATTTAAACTGGTATGA